GACTACATAATCAGTACCCTGTCGTTACCCAAAGTCGCTGCCCGACTCCTCCCTGCCAGTGCTTATTCAGAAAGGGGTGTACTGATATGCGCACTCGCTCCGCGTAGTGTATTCAGTACTGTCAGGTGTTATTGGAACAACTCGGGTTCTAATCGAGTTGTTTCACTATCAGCACGAGGAAATTAAAACAAAGACATATGAACAGTTAAAGTATTTTATAGTCACGAACTTATGATTATGTGGTGTAAATGATGTACGAGCGTACATGCGTGAGTGAATTACAGGATCGGGCAGAATCGGAATAGAATAGTACCGTTTTAATTATTTTTATGAATTTCTTTTGCATTGATATCATATGCCCGATCCTGTGAATCGTCTAACCCTATTTATTGTAGTATTGGCACTCGTGCCGTTGTCCAGATATATATCTATTTTTAACCACGTCACCTGTACAACCGGTTCGTGTACCCGTGTGCGTCGAGTCGTCCTTTGTGGGTCGAATGTGTGTGACGAGTGGGCTTATATTGTGTTTTGTAATGGGTTTTAGAGTGTGTAAGTCAAGTGGCCACTGCTATGAAAGTTGACTTCGTGAGTAGTGTTCCTTTGTGTTAGCAGGCATAGCTTGGACTCCCAAGAGTGGAGACGTGTTTACGACACTCGGTTTTTATTGGCTTTGTCTCTTCCCCATGAAACTATTTATCTGTTTGTACTTATGATAATTTAAACATACAGAATACATCTTTTTAATTATATCTGTATCCACGTGAACCGAGTTCCACTACGCGTGCCCTAGATCTAAAGGTGACTGTGCTATTTGTCACAATATTTACAAGAAATGAAACGACGAGAATCAACATTAGCACATATACCCACCGCAGCGGCAACAACAAACGTGTAGATTTCACACTAACATATAAACAACCTTTGAAACAAAACCTTTTGTGCTTGCCTAATGATATACACTATGGACGAATTTTATGTATGTTGGGGTTATAAGGGCTCATCGGGCGTCAGCGCCAACACTTATCGGTAACCGCAGGAGGATCTTTTTGCGTGCGAGATTGGACAGTCCTCACACACGCTATCATTTTAAAGTCCCGTCCGCCGGACTATGACTTGTTAGTTTGGTGCTGATGTGAAATCTACGATTATAATTTGGGACAAAATTATCCCTGACACCGGTGTAAACTTGAACATAACACCGCCACGTGGTTGGCGATGATCGGAAGACCTGATATTACCTTGTGTGGTTGATATTAAAACAGTTGGGGCTTCTCGCGAATCGACATAAGCTCCATGTAAACTCAAACTTGAAACATGGCTGATGTTTAGGAGGCCACGTCACCTGCAAAGAGAGTCAAACACTTTAATTAAAAGCGGGTTTACCGATATACACTCTTACATATCCATGTTTTAAAAAGTCCGCTGTAAGTGAACACTATGCTTATTGTAACATTTCTGTTGTCCTTAGTGTGACCTGAAAAAACATTCTGAAACACAAAAGGTATATTTGACAGTAAAAATAGCTTTGTAATGACTAAAAATCCTTCAGCTTCAGGAGGTAAAAGACAATTATTAAAAATTTTAAATGGATATGTTAACACAAAAGATTAAAGTGGTACGTCATAGTCTACCTGAGAGATGTTGGTCTATATAATAATGTAGAATTTTTCAATTCTCAAACGTTTCAAAAAGGGTTTTTAGACATGTAATGTTACGATAAAAACATTCTCGAGTAGACGGGTCAATGCAGTTCGATAAAAAACGGATTATTATTAACGGAAAGAGTCTGAATGGCTCTCATTATTTGGTTTCTGTGAATATATTCAAGAGCGAGGTAGAGAGCTCGCACTTCCGCCGAGAATATTGAGGCGTTGTTCGGTATATAGAGTATTTTGCATTTTTTAAACAATAGGTATTAAGAATAATTTTTGAATCTAATATATCTTACGTTTGCTGTTTCCAGGTCTCGGCTGAGTACATGTGTGTCGGGCAAACGTCAATCCTCCATAGCCTCTCGTTGCAACATTCCACCCAGGTAGGAACCCATGACTGTGTACATAATATCCCAGTCGCTTTATGTAATGTACTTCACAATTTATATTTATACCTAAAGCTAATCAGACGCATTTAATTACAAAAAATTCTGAATCATCTGATAAAGAAAAGTTTACGAGACTTGATGAAAATAAAACTGAATTAACTTTTATGAAAAGCAAAAATAATTATTTAAGTAACTCTGAATAAAAGGACAAATGATATCTATCTTAAAACTATCAAAAGTATATATACTCAATAAAAAAAAAAGAAAGGTTAACATGTTTCCTTGGCGAATACCTGTAAATGAGGGAAAACAAAATGACGTTTGTGCAGTATTAGAAATGTTTTACATTACAAAATCCAAGGGGGTTACCAAAATCATTCAAGCGTGAAAGTCTGTATTAGCGAAAGAGCTGCACGAGGTTTTCTGCAACTAACTTGTATCTTCGCTTGAATTTCATAAACATTCAAACTGACAACTGTTCCTTAGATCCTTAGAATCTTGCTATCTATCAACTTTATCATTATGCCCCGGCTGTCACAAGTACAGAGAGAAAGGGCTGTAAGCAAGATCCAGTCTGGGGAGTCTCGCCATCAAGTTGCACGGCATTTTGGTTGCAATGTTAAGACAATTTGCCAGTTGGTATATATAGTTCTTTGATAATGACATACTGAATGAGGTTTTAATGAAGGCTTTACCTGAGAACATGTCCTAATCCTGACATTATATAAAGTGTATGCAACCTGGCTTTATTAGAAACCAAACTGAGAGAATAACTCTCGGTCTACAATAAAATATTTAAGAAAAATTTAAATTATCTAAACTATATATATATATATATATATACATTTATTTTTTTTTAAATAATTTCATAAAAAAAATACTAAAAACGTAATGAACGCTGGGACAATTACATAGGTGTGAGGTTAAAGCTATGGACCTATATGATGCTGGTTAATATGGACTTTTACCTGGTTTTTACTACAGGTATTACAATGGCATTTTTCCAAGATTCAGGTATTCCCGTGTCCCATATGTGGTTAAAAAGTTGTACTATGATATGTGATGTTGTCTGGATAGTGTTTAAGTATGTTGAATGAAATGTTGTCATCATCCGGGGACGTGCTTTTCTTGTTCTGTAGTGCCTGTGTATATTCTGTAATTGTGAATGGGCAGTTGAGATCACCGGTGTTAAGGCCTGGGTCGCTAATTTTAATATTAATGGTGACTTGATTGTGAACGTTATTTAATTTAAATTCTGGGGTCAAATTTTCGTTACCACTAGAATTTTGATATTGTTTAGCTTAGGGTATCGACCTTTTCTTTATCAGTAATGTTTTTCTTACCGAGTATAGGAATTTCTGATCTATTTATTCCTTGCATAGCTTTTGACTTTTGACCAAAAGTTTTTCAAATTAGTTTTATTATTTAAAGATGAATAAAACTCTTCCCAATGGTTGTTTCTGGCGTTTTGAATGATGTAATTGAAATTAGTTTTGCATCTTGTATATTCTGCTTTCAATAGTTCACTATTTTCATTTGGCCTCCATTTCCTTTCGCTGTTATTTTTGAGTTTTTGACTAACCTGCATTAATCGTTCCACCATGACTTATTTTACCTAGTGTTTGGTTTCCCTGAAGTTTTTGGGATAGATGCGGACGGTATATCTAAAATAGTCCTTTTTTCTTTTTGTTGTTGTTTATTTGGGCTGCCGAGCCCTGGGTATATTTGGGTTTGGTGTGTTTTGAAGTTTGTTGTTTTGGTTGGTGTTTGCGTGGTGCGTTAAATTTGGTGATTTGATATTTTGTTAAACATGACTTCCTTTGGGCAAGGTGTTTGTGTTGAATTCCAATAGGACGGATGCTGTAGGTTGTTTGTCTTTGTTGTATAATGTTCTAGATCTTCTTTCTTGGTGTGTAGATCTTCGTTGTAAATATGACTGAGCCCAGGACTGTCTATTTAAGAAATTTATTGGTGTGTGGACGTCCTAGAGATCGACTGTTTAATACAATTTCTTAACAGCTTTTATATAGATGAACAAGGGAAATAAATGTTACATTATATAAAAAATTACATGCACCACGCCAACATGCTAGATATACTGATATAAGATTGAAGTACTTAATACGGATTACGTATTTAGTATCCAGGTAACAAGGTAAATTTGACAATAATGACTAAAGGTAAAATAGGTAATGACTATAGGATCGTCAACTAGACACGAACCTACATGTGTGACATGTGTATATCCTTGCGACATATTGAACAGAATTATATTAATAAAGAATTTATTAGATTAACCAAAATACAGTAAAACTCACTTGTGTCGAACACGCATGAGTTGAATACATCGGATGAGTCGAACGTTTCATTCAGTCCCGATTTTTTCTCCTCTTTATCTTAGTAAATTAAACACGGATGAATCGAATACTGTGGTTGTGTCGAATATATTTTGTGGTCCGTTCCTTCTAAATCATACAAAAAATTCCATGTTTGTGTCGAACATTCAGACGCCAAGTTGTCTCGGGTAAATTTTCCTGGTCGGTAACGAGTGTGATCGGTCAGCCGTAACGGTGTCAACGGTGTATTCCCAACTGTCCCAAAGCCGAAAATAACAGGTAAAAATTCTTTGGGACAGATGGGAGTTGTGTATATTGGCCAGTAATGACTAAGAAAACAACATGATGAGGTGACAATTAGATAGTTTATTCCGAGCACCGGTAAAATACAGGATAACAAATGTTTACCATTATATTATTTACACACATGTACAGTAGGGATTTATGTATTATTATATCTGAGTAATGAAATATAACTTAAGATGAAATATTTTGAGAACATATATATCAATATATTAATATAATATATTTATTATATATTAATATGAAAATTTCTTAAATAATGATAACAGTCAGAATAAACATAATTTCACACTAAATGCGCACTGTCAGTTAAACTATTACTCCATATGGAGCAAGTATGTGGCTCTGTCTCCATAGTTGATGTAGTCAATCTGGCCATCATCTGGCAGTGTCTTCAAATGGACCAGGCGTTCGTTCAACACTCTGTAGCACCGTCTCTTCTGTGCGGGCAAACCTCCAGCTGCGTGTTGAATCAGACTGACGTCATTGGCAGCTTGAACCTCCTTCAGTACCCTGATGAATAGGTAGATGTTAGGATGTGATGACGGGATCCTCTTCTTTAGTTTGCTGTGCCAGCCTTCCAAGGTGTTGGTAGTCCTGGGTCCATCATTGTCAAATTGATTCCAAATATTTCGGTCTCCTTCTACCCATTGTGTCGTGACGTAGTCTGTGAAAGTAGTGGTCTCCACCGGTAAGTTGACGTCTTTTAGGTCATTCCAGGCGTTGAACCAGTAGTCTTCAATTCTGATCAGGGGTAGTACTGCTGCTCGTCGAATAAGTCTGTGTATGTCTTCATTGTCTCTGTAGTGGGTCTGAAGTCCAAGCTGTTGAGTCTTTCGCCAGATACATTGGGTGTAGTGGAAGAAGCATCCTTTCAGAGTTATTCCTGGGAAGGCGGCTTTAGCGGCATTCTGGGCGGCAGATTCGAAGTCCATGAACAGCACTGTGGGATTGAGTTGCAGATGAAGATCTTCCATCGTTGACTTGAGTTTTTCTAAGAATCGGGTGTAGATAGTCTGTGACTTTCCTGGTAGGAGGGCAAATAGAAGTGGGTACATCTGGTTGTCTATCATGGTGTGGAAGGTGTAGAGTTGGCTGAAATACCTCGGGCATGTGTAGAATGTCCCGTCACAGTACAGGGTGGTAGCGGTCGAGAGGGTCTCCAGGCTGTTGGTAGTGGCAAAGGCTAGAATTCTTGAATTGTCTGTGTTGTCATCGAAGAGTAAAAAATGTTCCCCGGCGTTGGTCTGCGTCCATTCGTTTTCATAGCAGCAGCTGAAGTGGGTAACTTTGGCAGTATTTTCGCTCTGTTTCTGTAGAGGGATGACTTGCAGGAGGGGAAGGTCGGTATCTGTTCCACCATTCGGCGTGTCTCATCTGTCCAGTCTGGTGTCTGTATCTGGGCGATTTCTTCATCGTAGATGCTTGGTAAGGGTTTAAGTTCTTCTCTACATCTTCTCTTTACATTCTGCATGATTTTGTGTACATCTACGTTCGATCTGGTGGGTTCATGATTGTGTTGATGTCCCATCTTCACCGGAATGTCATTGGTGGTGTTGATTGTTGCAGGGCAGTCTCGAATGCAGCATCTCCAATAGGTTGTATCTTTGTACTTATTCTTTACCATATAGCTGAATCCGGCCTGACATAGTCTTCGGCCTTCACGTTGATTAGTTGTGAACTGTGTCTGAACTTGATAGTTAGCCATAATTGCATTGATGATGCCAATTCCAAAATCATGTAATATATATCTACTCACCTAGCTTGGATATTTTACTCAAACAGCTTGGGCAGTTGCCTCAACATCTTGTTAAAGTGTTAATCTCAAACTGCTTGGGTAGTTGCCTCAACCTCTAGCTAAGTGTTATTGTTTACTGTTCATCTTGAATGATTTTTTAATGACTAAATATTAAAATATACCGATTTAAATTATTATAATATTTTGTGAATATGACATAATTTATTAATGTAAATTAATATGATTATTCAATAATATTTATTAGGTTTATACTTAATTTTTAGAATTTGAATGAAAGATTTGGAAATACATGAATGACAGTTTGGAAAAAATGTTTCACATTTAGAGTTTATTTCAAGATATTACATAAATATGAGAATGGAAATAAATAATGATGTCCACTTACCTGTGACTTTTTGGACAGTGGTCTTACCTGTTAAAACAACACTCTCAACCCCTGATCACTATAACAACAACCCTACTTTTCGGACAGTTGCGAAGATTATTTATTTAGTTTTGGGACAGTTGGGAATTTTATTCAGTTTATTTCCAAATGCAGTACAGCATATAGGATTTACAAATCAGGGTACACAACAAGATCAATACAGTTTATGCAACATGACGGTGGAGAACACTACACACAATTAAAACGTAAATAATTTCAAATTTAATTGTTTCAATTAAATTTGATCTCACAAGTTTTCTAACTTATGAGATACAAATAATTGTAAACAACTTATTGGATACAGACAATTTTACGGATTTATAATATAGTTATATAATTTGTTGTTAAATTACAAAAATAGTCATGCCTTATATCATCATCATCAACAACAACGTCAATTATCACCATCATCGATGTCATTTCATCATCATCATCGATGTCAATTCATCATCATCAATATCATCATCTTACTTATCATCAACAACAACGTCAATTATCATCATCGACGTCATTTCATCATCAACATCATCATCAGCAGCAGCAGCAACTTTAATTCAAATCAGTTCAAATTCAAATCAGTCGAAAAAATTAAAACCAATATCATAAACATGTATGTAAGATGGCGTAGAACACAACAGACACAGTTAAAACATAAACCTCTACATTCATTTATAAACACAAAAATTTACTAACTTGTTCTAGCATTAAGAAGTAAAATTCTTCTTGTCAAAGCATAACTTAAGTATTTACTGAGGTTTCTCAGCGTTTTAACATTTTTAACTGCCAATAATTCAGTTAATTTATGTACAGATGGACGTCGATAATAATACGGTTTAATATATAATGCTCTTAAATCTGAGTATGTTGGACATAATAAAATAAAATGAATCTCGTCCTCCATTTCTCTTTTGTCACATAATATACAATACCTTAGAGCTCTGGGTATACCATGCTATCTACCGGTCTCAACGTTTAGACTGTGTGCCTGAATCCTAAACTTAGAGAGGATATTTTTAGATCTAAAAGTCAAAGACTTACGAAGATAAAACTGCAGTTCAAACCGGTCAACAATATGTTTATATAGTATACACTTGGATGAATTTTCAAAACTGTTTCTTGTCTCTTGAATGAAAACATCATGTAACCGTTGAGTATATAGCATCAAAAAATGCTTTTCATTTGAAATACACCGAGTCAACCAAACATCATGAAACCCTAAACTACTAAGCTCTTGCTTTACATGGTACATAAAATTCATCTTAAATCCAGGTTTTCTTAGATTTAGCTCTACAAGTTCATTATAACATGACTTTAAAACACAATTATCGGTATGCAGTAATTTAAGCCAATATTTCATAACAGCTATTTTACGATTTATTAACAAAGGGAAACGACCCAGCTCATGGTAGACCATAGAAGAATTCACGTTCTTTTTAACACCCAACACATTTTTTAAGAACAATAGATGTATTTTCTCTAACTGGGGTGCCGGACTAAAACCCCAAATTTCACATGCATAATTAAGTAAACAGGAAATATAGGTATCAAATAATGACAACTTCGTTTCACAATTTAACAGGAATTTAACAGGAATAAACCTGATCGTCAACGGTGTATTCCCCGAACGACTACTCCTGTAATTAAGACCTAATTATCTTGAGGTGTTGAGGGGCTCTCAGTGGGGAGTAGGCATAAAGTTTACCTGTACAAACAGGTGAGTTATAAATCTTATTACAAAATGACACAAGATAAGCTCAGGTGCATAAACTATACATTTTATCATAGCATAGTATTGTAACAAATGTATGTAGCATATTAAATATAATTTATATTGATATTGCATATGTATTGGATACAACTTGAGTTAATAAAAGATATTGACCGATAGATTCAAAAAGATTTGTTACAATTAACCTATTCAACATATTTCAATACGACTGGAACAGTTGTCCGAGATGGATGAGTTGGGATGCAGAATCTACTTATGTCATCAGGTCGATGGTTCTGTTCTGGTATCTTTCCTTCAGTGTCGATAGGCGTCGGTCAATATTCATGTATTTCTTTGGACGTGATCGCATGGTTCCTCCGGCTGTTCTCTGGATTCTGTTGATTTCATTGGCATTCTGTATATCTTTGAAGATCTGGATTGTGGAATATATATTTGGATGCTGTGTCATCTTCTTTATCTTGCTGTGCCATCTTTCTACACTGTTGGTGGTACGGGGTCCTTCGGTATGGAAATGGTTCCAAAGGTGTCGGTCTCCCTCTATCCACTGCTCTGTTACATAGTCTGTGAAGGTCTGTGTCTGCTAGGTAAGGTCTGTGTCATCTCGATCTTCTAAGGCCTGAAACCAGACATCTTCAATGTCTTCCAATGGCACAAGTGGTAGTTTTGCTGCGCGTCTCACTAAGGTCTTCACTGCGTCGTTGTCTTTGTAGAGGATCTGTAGGCCTGTTGCTTGTGCTCTTCTCCATATGCTCTGTGTATAGTGTATATCAACATTATATACAGATGCGAATTGAATTAATAAGCCCAATGAAAGTACAATTTACCAAATTGTTATGATACGTTATCATCAATAATTACAAAAACATATCATGATATCTATTATGATACATGAAAATGGTATTTTATATATTTCCATATAACCATTACTTATTATTATATACCAACAATATATATCTATATATGCGAATTGAATTAATAAGTTTCATTTAACCCAGTTTTGGAAAATTGTTTCTTAATGACTATCATCATGTTTATTTGATTTTATAAAATAATTATAAATGTTCAATAAATCGGTCCTACTGTTTCCCTAAATTTTCCCCTCAATTTCATGTTAATATTTAGGGCAGCTAATACAGGTAACATAGGTAATAACTAGTTATCCCTTCTGAGGGATAATTTAGATAATTGGGTGTTAAGTACAGGAGTAGTCGTTCGGAGACTAAACCTCGTCAACTAGACACGAACCTACATGTGTGGCATGTGTATATCCTTAGGACATATTGAACAGAATGATATTAATAAAGAATGTATTAGATTTACCAAATATTTAATTATAAAACACCAAATTATGCTTTCGTTGTGCATCCTACTGGATGTCTTAACATTGTTTATTTTCGCCAAGGAGGTTGGGGATCCGATAGATGACCCCCTTTGTTGTTGTGCATGTTTGTTTCTGGGTGAGGCGTTTGAATACGGCCGTTTAGACAGCCATGTAGTACATGGGGGTACCGTCCATTGATGTGATTTTTAGTGCCCTTGTTGCGCAAATCATCGTGGTGCAGAGGATTAGAATGATACCTGCCGGTAACATTTTTACCTCCCTGACGTCACTTGTCACCCCGGTGTACTGGGAGATATCCCCGCGTATCAGCACATTAGTGCTGAGCATCATTTTCAGGAGCTCCAACACCAACATCTCGTCCTCCGATGTCATTCGAAGTTAATGGATCTGGTTCAAACTAAGGAACATTGAACTCACCCACCAGTTTTCACTGTCACCACCAGAGCACACCACGGAATACAATAGCATCTAACACTGTCAGGTAAACGAGTCGTGATAGTCTCAATGTTTCTTGAGTGAATTTTCATCAATTCCTTGAAAATCAGACTGCTGCGGGCTTTCAAGAAAATACCTTCTTGGCATAAGACCAGGAAACATTGACTCGCTGAACTTAGCACTGTTACATTTCCGGAACTGTGCTCTGCCTAGATGAGTTGGGTCAGCCAGTCTCTCCCGTTTCCACATGGGATGTAAGGCTCTCATGGCTTCCTCCAGGCCTTGGGCTCCAGTTCCATCTCCATCTGTGGTAACATATTTTTATGAGCATGCCTTGTCTAGCCAGTTGATCCTCAATGTCCTTTCCCATGGCATACTCGGACA